TCAGAGGAGCTGCTTAAGATTCTTCCACTTCAAGGGATTAGGGCAGTTCCCATTATGAACATGTATAAGCTATTTTTATACACAATACAGTGGTTTGCTTCAATGAATTAAGAGAAGAAAGTTTGGTTCCACTGCAGACCTTAACAACAATTAAGGAACCACAGCATCTCACAAAACAACGGTGCTGCTCCGGTCACAAACCACGCTATTCAAGATTGCAAGAAGGGAACATCCTTCCAAAGGTAAATACCTTTACCGTGCAGGTAAAAGCAGATTAGCCAATACGGATCAAAGACTATTGCCATATTGGAAATCATCCTAAAAATACGAAACAAGTTGATTATAAACTGCCAGTATGAAATGAACAATTTTTTTTTGCCCGAATTATTGCAATTATTGGCAACTGCAATACAGCTGATAACCTCAGAGCCATGCAATCTGTTGCTCAAAATAAATACAGGTGAATTTCACTGAAAACAAGAGTCCAAAGCACTTACTCATGTGCAGTTTATTGGCTATTATCTCAACTGTAGAGTGTTTTACCTTTTTATTGGGAGTTTCTGATTGATCACCCTCACATTTTTCTACATCTTCCTCTCCCTCTTTTGCATGAGAAAATTTTGAAGTCTTTTGTGGTAACGAGCTGTTCTGTTCACCATGCTTCTTTGGCTGTTTACCTGTAGAACAAGCCTTCCTCTTTCTTTTTTTAGTAACCTGATCATAATTAAGGTAAGATTCAAAAGACATAGTAGGGGGCTCAAATTCTTCATCACTAGATAATTCAGCTTTGCTTTTTATGACAAGTTTTTGTTTTGGTTTCTCCACATGCTTAGGATTTCTCTGTTTGGAAGCATCCTTTCTAGGCTTTTCCTTCAGGGGTGGTAAGTCTTTATTGGCTACAGAGGAACATCGCTTTTCTGAAACCTTCTTGCTGTCTGTGGATGTTCTCTCTTTGAAGTCACTTTTTTTAGATTGAGGATTGGTACCCTGGGAAGCCTGCTTAGAACCACTGCTACTACATTCTTTATTATCACACTCTTTTTGAAACTCAGAATCTCTACTTTGGTGAATCTTTTTACTATAAGTACGCTGCTTTTTCAACTTTTTAGAAATAGGAGCTCGACTGGAACTTCTAGAGGCCAGTACAGAGGCTTTGGACTTCTCTGAAGGCTTAATCTCCTTGGAAATAGAAGATTTTGTCTCTTTTTTTTCTTCTTCAGTATTTTG